GTGTTCGGGAAGTGACGAATGTTGATCAAATTTTGATGGGTACTCCATCAAAATCATTATTGGTACTTCAATAAACTCTACAGAATTACAATATTGTTTAGAATTTTTGAAATACAAAGGTTGGCAAAAGCAATTTTCAATTAAAATTGTAAAATTGAAAAATAAAATAATAAAGTGCTGAATTTTGAATTTTAAAAAATAATTCTCCTTTTAGTGTAGATTAAAAGCGCGCTAATGAGTCGTGATTCGTAATGGATGGCTTGAACCATTGCATTACCCTCAATTTAATAAAAAAATTGTATTGATTAGAACAGTCCATTCTGCGTATAGAAGAGTTCAGATAATTTTCTTGTTTCCAAAGAAATCATGTCGGAATACATTGTGAATTTTCAACATTAAAAATAGAAAGACAAAATTAAAATACCTTCATGGAGTATTTTACCCGCATTTTATTATTTTATTGTACAGCTATGTAGATACATAAATAGATAAGAGAAATAATGTAAAAAATCAACAATAAAAATGTTTATAAGCATAGAATAATTATTTTTACTGTACAATGTGCCAGTGCCGCTAAAAACTGTTACTCTTACCATACACAAACACTTTCGTTCTGTTATTTTTTTATTTTTATTGTTATTTTATCCTAGTTACACTTAATTACTTGTACATTGTTTTTTTTTATTGTAATAAAATTGCTATTTTTTATTCTACAAAAAAAAAAAAAACAATAAAATGAAACTTTAACCATTTTAAATTTTTTTTTTTTTATTATCGTACCATATGGATATTTTGTCATACGGAATGCTGCTCCCTGTTTTTATGATCAACTTGGGGTGGCAAATTTTCTATTCAATTTTATATTTTTATTTTCTTATTTTTTTATTTTTTTTTTTATACGATTACTTTGTATACACCGTGTTCAAGTTAATAAGCAAAACAATAAAAAATAGAAAGAGATAAAAAATAGAATTGTCTAATGTGCTGTTGCTTTTTCTTTTTGTCTTTGATTCCACGTAGACGTTGAAAAAAAAAATGTGGAATGTGTTACTAACTGAGCATTGCAATACTAAAGTTCGATAATAAAAAATTTCAAAAATTTTATAAAAATTTTTTAATTCTATGTTTAAAAATTTAGTTAATAAAGAGAAAAGAGTTTTGAAAGTTATTTGTAGCATTTATTAAATTTTTTAATTTTTTTTTTGTTCCATATTGTAAATTTTATAATTTTTTAAAATTATTATTGTTAAACTTGCATAAACTAACTTGTTCTTACAAATATTTAGGAATGTTACACAGCTTATAATGAACTTGTGTTATACAATTAAATTGGCCTCTGGTTTCATTGAATATTTTGAAATTTAAAAGTTGATATTAGAATTTAAAATTTTGATACTAACGAAAATTTTCGTAACTACTTTAAAATTGTAATATAAAATGCTTCATGAATTGCTGAAATGACGGTTGTCATAAATATGAATTTTTGAATTGTATCGATCGGCTTGCAAACTCCGATTCCTAGAAGTTCTAAGACAACGAAAATCAGTAGTGTACCTACCAGTGTACGCTCTTAACTTTATCATTCAGCAAAAATGACCGTATGCTAATATATTACATACTTTCTTATCTTACAAAGCAAAGAATTCCAGCTTAGTTTGTTGAAGAAAACAGGCGCTACAGAGGTTCGAATCCACCTCGTTCTATTGTTATTACATTCAAACTTCTTTATGAAAGAACCAGGCGGCTTAATATGAGAATAATATTAAAAGTTCAAATAATTCTTGTTAGCTTCCGGTATCTTAAAGGAGGAGTGACATAACACTCTGATACAGTCTTCTTAACGGATACGAGAAATTTACCTCATAAGCGACAACGAAATGTATGAACAATTAAGCAATATTATATTTTATTTTAATTTAAAAAATTTGCTTTTTACATTTGAAGACTTTGAAACTTCATTGGAAAAAAACTGCATTGGAAAAATCATTAGTATTCAGTCATTCTTTAAAATAAAAAAATTTAATTGAGTGAAATAAATCTCATGAGATAAAAATTTATACAAAATATAAAAAATTTTTCATAAAAGAAAATTCACAAAGACAAATTATAATGTGCATATTATTATGTACAAAGGATATTATTAAGGAATAATAATAATATTGGGAATAATATTGAATTCAATTTTAACGTTAAATACCAATTATTTAATTTGTAATTGACTTAACTTTTATGAGTTCATTAATTTTGTAAAAGGATTTCAAATCATTGACACACTCATCTTATACATATAATGTTCAATGGAGAAATTAATATCGAATATTTGTTTGTTTCTATTTTAAAGGTAGGATACAAAAAATTTTGATACCACTTGTGATTTCGTGAAATAATGAACACTTAAAGAACAACTGAAGTGCCCAATAAGAAAAAAAAAATATTAACTAGCAAAATATAGCACTTTATTGTATATAATCTACAATCAGCAGACTTACCAAGATGATTTTGATCAAAAAATTGAACAATTATATTAGAAATTTAAGCAGTTCGTAATGTAGATTAGCCTACATTAGGTTGACACGACTATCGTATGCCAGAAACCAGGTTAAGATACCTGGTAATCTGTAAAAAGGAAAATAACTGAAAGCAACTCCGCCTGTTCCTTGCAAGAGGTAATTCGAAGAAAAGCCCGTTCTCCTGGCATGTTCAGCAATAACACGAATTTCAGTTATGATCCCTATTACAGCCTAATGTCTCTGCGGTGAAAAGACATCAGATCTCTGGTGGATGCAGATTTAATTCGTAGTTCTGTGATTGGCGTGCTCAACTGCCCTGTTGCGTAGCAGGAACTTGTACATACTCAGATGCATTCCGAGATTTTCCCTTTCACGTAGTTCCCCCAAGAGCATTAGCCTTCCCATGGCTAATGCAGAGGCAAAAAAAATTTTTTATTCTTTGTACCTAATTTATTCTGAAAAAAAATAATTGCTCAATTTCTAAATTCGTCCCTCTTCGGACCTTCCCGAGAGAATACGAGTTTCATCTGACTTGAATGAAATTTATGTCCAAAATAAGTAGAATCACGTTATTGCACTGAAAACGAATTGAAATTAACTTGTGTCCGAACACTTTACCAAAAAATTAACCAAAAAAATTCCGGTATTTCTCCGAAAGATTCCGAAAATTCTTAAAAATTTCGGATTTCCTATTTTTAATTTCAAAAAGAAAAATGGCAGTTCTTGTTAAATAATTTTGTAAATAAAAAATTCTATTTAATATGAAATTTTCATTAACAATTTGATATTTCCACAATTCCAGCAATCCGTTCAGATATCGGAGTAAAAAATAGAAAGAAAAAAACAAAAAATTTATGGAACATAAAATGAAACCTGAGGTTTTTCAATGATATTAAAATATTTACGCATATTATTATTATTTTGTATAAAATACAGAAAAATATTCATAAAAAAAAATATAGGTGCACCAACATCATAAAAATAACAACCAGAACACAAAACAAGAAGAAAAATAATAATAAATATTAAAACAACAGAAGATTTTCACGTTCATGGCCATTATGCGATCATCGTAACGAGTTGATGATGGTAATAAGTATGTGTGCAAGGGAAAATAACAAAGTTCTTGTTTATTTTCATCATCCGCTTTCTCATTGTCTTTCTCTCCGATTTTTTTTTTTTTGTTTTTTATTACTTTATTTGTTTATTTCTGTTATTGTTGTTGTTTTGATAAAAAACAAAGTATATATTTAATTTTTTTTTTTTTGTTGTGTTACTCTTCCATTTATTTTAATTTTTAATTCAGAAAAAAATAATAAAATTTAATTAAGCTAATGGGCGTAAAATAATACAATACACATGACGTATTCACCAGCTGATGGCTATTTGTTTACTATATATAGAATTTGAATATAAAAAAAATTAAATGAATGCATAAAATAGTGGCGATTGGCGAATACTCTTTATTTTTTCCTCTTTAAATTGCAATATTTCTGGAATTTTATAAAAAATTTTAATAAATTCTTAAATTTTTAAAATTATAGTGAATTATTTTGCGTCGCTACTATTTTAATGCAATTGTATGTGCAACGAAGCAGGCGAAGAAGCATGTGGGAGACTAGAAGCGATTTAAGAAGATTATGAAGTTGGGCAAGAACCTGTTGGGAATCCTACCGTGGTCTTGTCAGGGCACGGCAGACTTAGGATAAACCTTTATAAAGAAAATACACATTGGGCAGGCGTTTTTGTTTAATATAGTTTAGTCTTGAGTTTAGTTTAACAAACGACTATTACTTTGATTTACATAATTAGTCGGACGATTAATGAACAATTTCTATGAAAATTTTTTTTTGCTCTTAATTTTATTGAAAATCATTTTCAATGAATTTAAAGTTCTTATTTTAATTAAAAATGAAAATTTCGTGAAAAAAAATTAAAACATTCTAAAATTAAACCCAAAACCTATTTAAAAATTTATAATTCAAAGAATTTTTTAACAAAATACATAATATAGGTTTTCGTAGAAACTCTTCTTGTAACCAATATTAACATTTTACGTAATAATTTCATGAATTTCATAGAAAATAATTAATGGAAAATTTTTTACATAATTACATTTAAAGAAATTTCCATTACAAAAATCCTTTAATCGAATTATAAAGAGCGTATTATTGTTAATCAAAGGGAAAGTATAGAGAAAATGTTTTAAGTACACGTCTGCTAAAAAAATTAAATGTTTTAATAAAAGAAACATTGTTTTAATATTTAATACTTTCTCATGCTCTCTCTTATATGCAAACATATGGTTACTGAAAGCTTCAATTCATGGTTCATAGAACAACTTTCGTTAACACAGAACAAATGATTTCCAAATAATTTAAACACAGCAGAAATCTTAGAAAAATTTGTTATGAGAGTTGTTATAAGTCTAAAATTACATAGTTTCAGGCGAATCTAAAAATATATTCGAATAGAGAAATCAAAACTTACCGATACTCCTAAAAATTGCGTTGAATTCATGGCAGCATATATTTCATCAGCTATATCTTTATCTGTATATGTAAAATCTTTAAGAAAACGTTTTCTAGCACTAAGTCTTTCCATTGTTTTATTAAATGCTAATGCAACACTCCAAACAGCATCATATGCTAATGGTGCCTCTTGATATCCTTCTGGATATCGATTATGTGAAATATCATATCCATCTTGTTGAAGTTTTGCATTCAAACGTTGTCTGCAAACAAAACCAAAAAACAAAAATAAATTTGTAAATCCAATGAATAATTATTATTTTTTAAATGAAAATATTACAAAAAAAAACCCTCTTAAATATTTTTAATAAATTCAAACATAATAATTTTTTTTTCTACATAGCATGGCTGATATAAGATCTGGCAGCAAGACACTATCAGAAGAAACTACATTATTATTTGAGTCAGTTGAATTTTTGGTGCCAAATACTAATCATGATTATCATAATGGCTAATTCCACTCGAATACAAAATGAATTTATCATTCATTATATGTTTTATTTACAACAAGGATTACTGATACGAGGATATGGCTGCAAATGTTTGATGATTAAATGTTGAAACCAAATAAAAATGAAGTTTTATGTACATCTAAATAAGTTTTAGATGAATAATGCTCAAAATATTTAAGCTGTCTGTACTCAATGGGTAAAGTAGTAAAATTTTAATCTCACAACTTTTAAAGCATGAAATTGAAATTATACCCAGAACTAATTCTAATTTTTTAATTTTTCAAGAAACCATCAAAGCTTCAAGTAACCATTTGGATGTCGAATAGCCTAGTTAGTACACTAGCATTGGAGTATCTATGGCAGAATTAATGGAACATTTTCAATGGTCATTTTCAAAATGTAATTAAAACTTTGCCAGAAGTTCAATAGAAGCAAGCCGAATTTTTTCTTGCCCCTATACTGGAATAAACTTACTTTAGAATTATTACTTATGGATGAAAAAACGATCCGTCCAATAATTAATATTATAAGAAAATACACACTGTCCATTTTGTATAAATTCTGCGGTACGATACAGTTAGTATTTGTTATTAGTATTTCGACCTTGCGGATATTGTATTCAGGTTTTTTGAGAATAGCACAGAAACGATGCTTTTGAGATTATTATAATGGGTCAAACTGGCTGCACTTATATTAGAACAAGCCGACATAAACTAATCCGTAAATGCAGTTGAAATCGGAACCAGAATTGTTTCATTTTGTAAATTAAGTAGAAAAATTGGTTTTTATCGATTGGTAAAATTTTCATGTAAATTAAATTTTTTAAATATGAAAAATTGGCTTAGAAAAACAAATATTTATTAACAAAAGTCCTTTTGTAAGAAGAAAATGAAATTAGATTTTTTCTCTTTTTTTTTTTAAATAATTTTCTAATTATAAAATCAACAGTCGTTGCCAACAAAAAAATCATAAGTTTTCTAAAACCCAAAATTTTAGAACCAGACACACACAAAGTACATTGTGAGTTTGTGTATAAATGCATACATGAATATAAAAATTGGTTAAAATATAGTTTTTTAAATTATTTTTATTCTCGTAAAGGATAATTTAAGTAAGGCAAAAAAATAAAAACAATACAAGCAAAAAAAACTATTATAATAAGGACCTTCTAGCATTTTAATGCTATGTCTATAACTTGGTACGTATATGAAAATAAAATTCAGTTGAATCCAATTGGCCTCTTTATTTTTTTTTCTGAAAAAAAAAACTAAATTTTTCTAAATAAGAGAAAAAAAAAATATAAAAAAAAATGTTTTCCATTTCCTGCAATTAAATGAGATTTTTTTCTCCCTATGTTTTTTTTGTTGTAAAAAAGAAAATTTTTCTTGTTTTCCATATAAAAGAGAATGAATTTTTTTTTAAAGTCCATAATATTAAATTTTCTACATTTTATGTGGTCATACAAAAAAAAATGTAAATGGATATGAAATTATTGTGAATTATCTTTATGTTTTTGTCATATATGTTGGGATGCTTTTGGACGAGCTAGGAGTTAAACAAAAAAAAAAACTAATGAAAATTTCGTATATAATGCAGGTAAGGTCACAAAAAATTAATATAAAATGAAAATTGCAAAAATCTTTTATTTTAAATTATGAATTATTTTTCATTTTATTTAATAATATTTTTTTTATTAAAATTTTAGATATAAAGCCTTAAGGGATAAAAAATGTATTGGAAATGGTAATCATCAACCAATTATGATTATTTGACTGCTTAACTTGCGTAAATATTGAAATATAAAGTGAAAATATCGCAGAAATTAATGGATATCTGAACTATCCTGATGATATAGATCTTCTCAGTGGTGTTAGCAAAATAAAACATTTATTCTAAAACGGTTAACTCTGTTCCACGAGACAAATTCACAAAGCATAGTATCAAATGATCAAGGTGTCGTGAATGATAATAAACATTCGAATGCAAAAATTTCTCGACTAAGACTGGAATGGTTATACACCCATTTATGTCAAGGAATGAAAAAAACGAATATTTAGTGTACCCACATTACCATATGGAAGGTACTAAAGTATCTTTTCGGCAGAAATACGTGATATAGAAAAATGAGTGAAATTTAACCTGGGAAACGGTTACTGCGGGTTCGATATGACAATAATGTCAAGATTCAATCCATCAATTTATTTAATCAATTAAATTTATTCAAAGGTATTCTTAAGAACGTGGATGTAATTTTTTAGATCTAATTTTATGGTAGACCTTAAACTTTTTTAACTTAGATTTTTTTTTCTTTTAAAGCAAATTATCTAACAACTATGTTTCGAATTGTTTTTACAACAAAAATATTGCTATAGAAAATTTCAAGTTTTTGTTTTCCATTAAAAAAAATCCAAATAACTTGATAATTTCACGGTTCATTACATGCTATACAAATAACATATACGTCACATTTGTTTATCATTGAAGCATCATTGACATAAATTTGCTTCAATTCACCATAGGTATACGTACATATACATACATACATTAACAATTCGTCAAAACAATTAAATTTCTATTTGATTTTATACTTACCGAAATTCGTCTGATGACATTCCAGATATTGTTTTCTCATGGATATTTTGATTCCACATTAATGCTTCAGTTGTTAAATGTCCTTCGGCAGCCTCTTTCATTTCATCACGTGAACATGATATATTTTCTTTTTCTAAATTCACCTCATACCAATTATCTTCATACCAACCTGTATAAAAGATATAATAAGAGCAAATATAGTAATGAAAGGAAACATACATATGTAATATGAAATAAAGTATGAGATTTTTAAGGATGTCAAAATATTGCAATCATATTAGATTTTTAAGGATAATCTTGTATATGGTAATGATTGTGTATAGGTATATGAACTCTTAGTTCTTAGAAATTTCTCGTTTTTAATTTATTCGGCCTTTTAGAAAGTAATGATAGTAGCTTTACTCCCTTTCAAAGGCATGTACTTTCTGTCAGAACAAATGAAATCTTAAAGTTCAAAGCTCCCACTTTATGTTACTTACATAATTAAAGTAAAATTACATTATGCTTTGAGTGAAATTACTTTCATGAATTTTCGGTATTCCAAACAATATTAAAGAAATTCAAAAAGATGTTACTGAACTTAATTAATTATAATTAGCAAAAAATTCTATATTTAGTAATTACTACTAATGAAGACTCTACAACAATTTGTTTTTATGATTATTTTTAGAACTTCCGTTTTCTACACTTTCAAGAACTCTTTCTTTCATTTTCTCTCTACTTGTTCTAGATTTCAAAAAGAATATATGCTTTAATTGTTCACTCATTCTTTTTAGATTGTGGCGAGAACCATAATTATTTTGATTGTGTTGTTTATTATGTGAACTGTAAGACAAGCTATTTTTGGAAAAAAGTACCATGACACATCATTATTTTTTTACCATACAACACCTACTTAAATTTAAACTTATGAAAAAAAACACCTTATTTTTAAGAAATGAAGGAAGTAGGGCAAGTAGAAGTTTAAGATGATGTAAACGTTCAAGTTACTAGTATAAATGCAAGTTGATAATTGTAGGTTTTTAAAGAATTCCTATAAAAATTAAATATATATTGTATAAGTGATTTGAAATTATTAAGTATGCTGATAATTTAGGTAGAGTTTCTGTTATAAAATTAAGTAATTTTTAGTAGAATTTTATTTATTTGATTCCGTTGGGGAATAACTCCGTATTAGTTTAGTTTTAACTATTTAAAGTTCAGGGAAAGTTGAATATAAAGAAGTTTGAGCGAAACGTTTGTATTTTATCAAGAACCTTAAACTCAGCTAAAATTTGTGTGTTGTTCTTGCAGAAATATTTTCTTGTTTCATATGAGAGAGCATTATTTCGTACAGATTTTATATGAAAACTTAAGATAATTTATGAAATTTCATATCATTATCATCCTGCTTTAATATTTTCTAACTCAATTACAAAACTCAACAAATAGCACTGTTTAGTTAGTGTGAAAACTAAGTAAGCATACAAGAAATGACAAGGAAATGGTTGTATAAAAGTACAATTATCTTAATAACAAATATGCAAAATCCTTTTTTTTTACAATTGTATTTGTAGATATACAAGTTCATATAGTTTATGTGTAAATACTATAGTGAAAATAAATTCACATATTTTAATGTTTTCCTCACGGTTATTTAAATTTAATGATAAAAAACAACAAAACACATGAATGAATATTTTGTTAAGATGCGAATGAACTTCACCACAACTATTGTTATAATATTATTTTAAGTGTTATACTTGATAATAAGTATGTGTAGTTAAATATAAATTGTAGCAAAAACAAATTGTGTTAAAGTAATGGTATATAAGAAATGAAAATCGATTGGATACAAATATATATTATGAATCTAGAGTGATAGAGAGATAGAGAGAAAGAGAGAGTGTTACGTAAAAAGCTCTGCGGATTGGAATATCTTTTCTATAGCACAAATTCTCAATAAAATATTTAAATTCTTAAAAATATTTAAAACTAGATTTATATAGGGTGATTTATGAAGGGAAATAAACTATACTTGGTTTATTTAAGAACAATGTCTTCTTTCATGAGAAATTTCAAAAATACTCAAAATATAATTTGAAAATTAGAGCATTCTATAACACAACGCACTTGAGTCATTTCTGAAACACTCATTTATTTATCCATTCTCATATAACTATATATGGTATATTAAACTTAAATTATGACTATACATACTGTTATATACATAATATAAAAGAAACCGTATAAGGATAAATGATTTTAAAAAAATTTTATTTCATATAATATGTAAATATTATAACTGTCTGTATGTTAATAGTATATGGTGTCGCGCATTCTGACAGTATAATAAAATATAAAGTTGGACCAAACCATGATGTGTAAAGTAGCACATTTCTCTTTAAACCAACATACTTTTATTCATAAACCAAAATATATCAAATATTGCATATATTAAGGATGAGTGAAAATGAAAGAAGCATTAACATAATGGTGAATTCAAGGGTTAATTGCGCGAGTTAAGAAAAATAATTATACTTTTTGATGGCATGGCATTTTCTGTTACCTTTTTCTTTTTACAGAAATTTGGAAAGTTTTCGAAATATAAGGTGCCGAAAATTCAAATTTTACAAATTTTGGAAAGCGAAATAAGTTATCAGAGTTTAATTAAAAGTGGCCATCTTGTTTTTATAATGATTAACTATGCTGTCTGTTAGCCGAAGAATATCGTTACATTTCGTTCGCTTTCAGAATTTGACAAATGTTTGTAGTTTCTTGATAATTTGTAGGGGGCGGGGAATATGGAAAAATTTTTCTGTTTTGCATCCTAAAAAACAGACACACGAACGAGCGGACACATACATTTTTTCTGCGAAAAGTGCTAAAAAATATAAAATGGAAAAGAAGACAAAAACAATTCTTATTCATTTTCTTTGAATTTTCTATAAGAGACTATGAGATATTATTTAAGTTATCTATCCCACGATAATTTGCACACATAACATCGTATATTATTGCATACATGTAGGATGCCATAAGATAAAAATAATATTACAACAAGTTATCATATATAAATAAATTTAATATTATGTTAAATATATTCGTATTTTGATATACATATGAATGTAGGTATCGTATGCATCTCTACATAATATTTCTGTCTGCTTAGAGGTTATTGTTCTCGTAAACAATTCCTATATTTGTATATTATATAGACATTAAGTGATTGTGGCATGATAATAACATTTATATATTCGTTCTTGTTTGCTGCTATGAAGCAATACATAATAGTATTTGATATTTCCTCCCCCTACATTACAGACTTAAAACTTGAAATATAAGTGTGCAACAAAGTAATTTTTATTTGATAACAAACTTTTCATATTAAAATAATTAAATAAGAAATTGCCCACTGAAGTTTTCTTGTTTTTTGTTTAAGGATATGGGTGATTTAATGGAATGAAAAGTTGTTTTATCGTAATTGTATAATAAATAGTTGTAAAGTACTGCAATGCAAGTCGAATGTAGTACTGAATGTAGGTTATTCTGGCAAAAATTATCAGTATTACTAATCTGGGCCCTATATTAAATGTACTTCAGACAAGTGATTTTGCAGAACTGGAAAATTTAACTGTGACTGCATTTGTCGACGATACAGTAATATTGACAGTTCGATCTAATTTTGAAGAATCGAATATCTAGGAGTGACTTTGGATGTCAATCTCAGATAGAAAGAACATGTAAAGAAATAACACTTGTCAAAAAAATACAAACTTTTCAGAACAAATGAAATATATTTCGTAATATGGTGGTTGCTCCCTGTACTGTCAATATGCGCTATATTGACATTCATACGCATTCTCCGCAGTGAGTAATAAAATAAAAGCTGTGCTACATGAAGCATAGGGCGCGTTTGTATTTTGCTTTAAAAAATTGTATTTTACTTTGAACAAAAGCTTTATGACAAGTAAAATTATATTAATTTTCCAATCAATATTCAATATTAAATATGCGTATGGTGTTAAATAAAAGTGTTATACTTAATTGTATATGTACCCACACATTCAATATAATTTTTGTATCGGATTTAAAGAAAGCATACTTCTTAAAATGTCAATGAATCTCCATAAAAATTGATCTCACATCAAAAGTATTCTTTTATAATTATACAAGTGTAGGTGTTTAATAAGAATTTCTTGTTTTTTCTTGTTACAGGTGTATACAACTATAGAAATTTTATTGACGTAATTATTATTGTAAAAATGATTTTCGGGAAAATTATTTTTATTCATTAATGCGAAAAGGAAATTTTCTATTAATTTATAAAATTATTATTCGCATATTTTTTTATTAAATATAGAAAAAATCTTTAATTTAAATTTGATATAAGAAATTTAACATTATGGTTTTGAATGAAACGAATTTTAATAAGTAATATCATATATTTCAGTCTTGTGTCAATTTCTATGTTTCTCTGATAATGATTACCATATTAGACTGTAGATTGCTGAAGAGTGATATAGGCAAAGTAACTTATACGTTCGAGCAACCGTAGACAGCCATGGCTTATTCTAGGCCTCCCTCATCACTCTTATAGTACAGTAGTCGGAAGTAAATAACGAGATATATCTCAAGGAGTTGGATCTGAGTTCCATACTCACCAGATCACGTACACAACTCCAAACTAACTTGGAGGATGTAACCTGAACCGAATGGAAATAATCGCTATATATTTCGATAGTCTCGAGCCAATTCGAAACAAAACTATTTTAAGATGTCACGCATACGATATATTTGGTAACTTTAACTTTTCTCTACAATATCTTTATCGTAGTCTCATGACAGTTTCTACTTCCTCTCCTTTTCTCTCTTTTTTTAGATAGCTCCCTTTCCTAAAAAATTTTAATTTTTAAAAATGTTAAAACTTCCTTTTTAACATTTTAAATTTATGTAATGCATGGCTAAGTATATACATACATAATAATTACGAAGGCGTTTACTAAATACACGAAGTACATCTACATCTATAATTAATATAAATGATACAAACAACGAAATTAATAAGTCAAATTTAAAATTATGAGAGAAGGGGGAGGGGAAGTCAACACAGCTTGAAAAAAATATAAAGAAAAACTTATTTAAAAGTCAACTCTATTCAAGTATTAATTAAAATCATAAATTATATTG